TTTCTCCTCTGCTTGATACCAATTTATTGGAACAAAACAACCTGGCTGAGTTGGAAAAAGCCAGAAACAAGCTTTGACCAGTGATGCAGCAGCTGAAATGACATACCCCAGTTCAGTTATCAGAGGAGAAAGGAAAACTAAATAAATAAATGGTTATGCCAGGAGAAGAAACAATCCTGAGTCCGATTACCAGTCTGATTTCTGACATTTGTTCTTCACCTGTCAAATGCTCCTCTCCTCTTGGTGAGCTTTCACAGGGGCTGGGTGAGCGGACCCTGAGTGAACTGCAAATGCCCTGATTTTGTGAGGTACTGAGTCCTCTTTCCTCCAGAYTTCACTTCTGTGTCCTTCCTTACTGTCAAAAGCTTCGCCATCCTTTCGTGCCCTCACCAAAACCCTATATCCTGATTTTCTGTTCCCTTATTACAACTGGTCAGTGTGGTTTCTATCATCCCCCTCTCAGCAGCGACCTGAAGGCTCATTCCCCTGTTGCTGCGTGTATCCAAATGGATATCCACTCTCACCAGCCAGTTTTCTCTCCTGAAATGAACCCCCTTTCCCTGCCTGCACCGCACCAATGACAGCTGCTCTGGGAGAGGCAGCTCAGCTGGCTTCTCTGCCTCTTCATGTGGCTTTTCCAACTTCCTCAGCTTCCCGTTATGATGAAGGGCATTGGCAACCAGTCCAACAAACGGGACCAGAAAGAGCCACTGGCCCAGGACCACTGGGAACAAATGTCTATGGACAAACGGTGGCTCCAGATTGCAGCTGGTGCCTGTTCACTATTGTATCTCACCTCCTAAATTCATACTGCCTTTTTCTATCAGGAGGCTGATACCCTCTGGTGACTGGGTCAGAAAGATCAGACTGGCACCCATCAGGGTGGGGCACAGAAGATTTCTCAATATTTTTTTATCAGTTGTCTTAATCTCCAAGTTTGCTGGGAAATCTTTTAATCATATGGGATGGAATTATATCATGGGAGTGTTGGAGTAATTTATGTTTGGCACCGGCTTTATTAAAATAATGATGTCTATTTGTGCAAGACTAAACTTCTACGTTTACTGATGAAACACCTTCCATCCATCCTTTCTTCCCTCCTTCCGTCTGTTCATTGGTCCATGCACCCATCCTTTCTAGATGTAGACATAGACACAAGGGATGATAGCTACTGACCCAGATCAGATATGCAATGAGGACATGACCTGTGGGTATTTGCAGCCCTCTTAAGCTCCCCTGTGTCTCCTCCCYGAGCTCCATCCCTGCCCTTCTCCTGAGCAGCCCCGGGATGCGCTGTGCAATCCCAGGCTTGCCTCAGTGGGGACAAGGACCAGTTGTCCAAACGTCCTCCACCTCTGTGATGTAACAGGAGAGTCACCGAGCTCCCTGCGGCTGAGGCACTCTGAGGAAACCCGCAGAGGGGGACACATGGAGTGACTCATGGAGCGCCCAGATTGCCCAAGACAAGGAGGAGCAAAGGCAGCAGGCCTTGGGGACAGCGAGGTCAGCTCTGACTGCGGCTCTGACTGCACTGCCACAGCTGTCCTGTGGGCCACAGCTGCACAGTGTATGTACTAAAGCGGGGCTGTTTTTAAASCCTGACTAGCCACAGACACTGGGCAAATGGCAGTTCCAGGCTGGCTACCTGGGCACACCGTAGACGCTGAGAATATTTGTCCCTCCAGAAATGATGAGGTGATGGATGGCTTAAGTTGCCGTGAGGACTTGCACTGTGATCTGTTTGCAGTTCTGTGGCTGGTGGCTGCTTTTGGAAAAGTTTGTGTTCTAATGCCCTCTTAAAACAAGTGGGCTGTGTAGTGACCAGGGGAAGCATTARCACCAGTGATGTCTGCACAAAGGCAGAGCATTTTGGAGAGTTTACAGTGAGCCTGCACACAAGCACTGTCCTTCCACAGAGCACAGGMAGGAGTTGCTGCTGTTGCTTTCTAGGTCAGACAGCCCCAGGCCTGAAAACAAGCATCAGCTGGCCTTTGCCTGAATCCCCAGAGACTGGAATGGTCTCAGATAAAATGTACAGCCTTGTGAGCAAGAACCCAGGGCAGGGCTACCAAGAGGGCACATCTGGGTTGGGATAGCTTTGAAAAGGATGGGGAGCTGTCAAACAGAGCACTACTGCAGCTATGGGAGCTGTGGCTGCCCAGTGTTTAAGAGAGCTGCCAGCACAAGTGTCCCAGGCAGAAACCCTGCACAGTGACACTCTGGTGGCCCTGAGGATAGGCTGATGGCCACCTGTCACCTCCCTGTATGGTGACAAGGTTTCTCCAGCACCAGCCTCTAGTCCCTGGCTCTGTCCCCACACACACCCCTCTGGTGTGAAGCAGTTTCTCCCGAGCAGGGAAGAAGTGCCCTGGCAGGAGCCTGGAACACTCATGCAAGAGGCAAAGCCAKTGTGTCAGGAAGGCTTTAGAGGCCACCTGAGAGACACATCACAGCTGCTCTCACTGCAGGAGAGAGGCAGCCAAAGGTGACTGCCAGTGGGGTGGTGCAGCTGAGGAAGAGCTGCACCACAGGGACAGAGGTGGTGCCAGCAGAAACCATGGAAAGAATGAGGGAGGTTCACTCTCAGAGACAAATTATTTGGGGTGTGTCWGCAGGACCCGGCTGTGCGGTTGCTGGACCGGCAATCTACGTCCAGCTGGCACAAGCTGTTGAGGTGGCAGGCTGGTATGTGGCCCTAAGCTCTGCAGTTTCTCAATCGTGKGAAGGAGTGAGAAAAACACAGGTACTGGAAGGGCTCTGTGGGCTGGGAGTCAGATGAGCAACAGGATAGGTGGAGAAAGCCCAAGCCAGATCAAGACAGTCAGCTAAAAGTTAAAACAGATAAAAAACTTCAAACCGATCTTGCACAAGCCTGAAAGTGGACTGTTCCTGTTAACTGTGTCTGACCCAAAGTGTTAAAGGCACAATAAAGGTTACTACAGCTGTACCTTCTGCAAGAGCAGCAAGGGCCACGTGGACCTGAGTGCTGCAGCAGAAASGTGCATCTGCAGCTCCAGGGGCTGCTCAGGTCTCCTTTTGGGATTCTCCTGCCAAGGGGAGCACAGGAGCAAAGGGGGCAGTGTGTGGGGCCAGGCCTCTGGGCTGAGTCTCTGTGAGTCCAGGAAAAGTTCCCAGAGGATAAACAGGGACGGGCCAGAGTAGTAGACAGGCCACAGACAGGGAAGCCTGAGGAGGAAAATAGATGTGTCACACCACATATCCTAAGTGGGTCACAGCAAGAATGGAAGGAGGCTCCAAGAATTGATTTTTGCCRCATATTCCCACTGGGAAAGGCTGTGTAACAACGAGGCTGTGGCTGGGGTTGCCATTAGCTGTCCCCAGTTACCAGCAGAACAGGTTCCTGTGTCACAACTGCATTACAGSAGGAGAGAGGAAGTGAAAAGCTGAAGAGCAGCTAATGAGGGCCCTGTGACACAGAGTTAACCCAGTTAACTGGGAACCACTGACAGTCCCCTTCTAGCTCAGTGCTGAAGGGAGACACGAGGGCCAGGTGGAGCAGGGAAAACTTTGTACCAACCAAATTTGTGTTAACCATTGACTGCACTGAGGGCTGGGCAAGGCCATGTCTGTGAGCCCTTAGGTTATCTCAGAAGGTGGCAGAGGGTAGCCACAGGCTACCTGCACWGACCCAGCACGGTGAGTGCAATCCCAATGGGTAACCCACTGTTGCACAAGCCAAGGGATCACAGTCTCACACCTACCAACAGCCAACAATGGCAGCTCACCCGGATGTCTGGCAATGACCAGCAATGATGTAAAGGTTGGGCTTTTTCTCACATCTTCTGAAAGTGTGAGAAGTGATGGGATTAGCAGGGATGAGTCAGGAGCTGCAAGAAACCTTCCTGTTCACAGGGAACTAAACTCAGCGGGTTATTTTATCATTACGTTAGACTAACAAGTTATCTATTTTATACCCAAATTCAAAAACTTTCCTTGCCCTGCTCCAAGCTGTATAATGGATMCTGTGGCAGAAACCTATGGGGAGGACTCCTCAAATGTGCTGGTTCAGGCTCTGCAGTAGCTCTCCTGCTGTAGCTACACTTACACCCTGAGATGCCATGTGTCAGTGTAGTCAGCTGTCAACTTGTGCTGCTGCTCCCTGCTCAAATCCAAAATACAACCAGCACAAGCTTCCTGAGGGTATGGGTGAGCCCAGATCCATGCTGCTGTCACGCAGTACATGTTGGATATGCTGCACTAGGAGCTGTGCTTTAAGACTTGACAAGTTGTGCCAGTTACAAGTATCCCTTGGAACTAAGGTGCATTGAAACACATTATTAATAATACCGTGGTTTCTCTCTCCAAAAATAACTGCTGAAGCTTCAAAGAYACTGCTCAGTCAAGCCACACTGGGTATCACTCTCAAATCGTAGACTCCAAGCATTAATCCAGCTCTGCCAAGCCCAGTGCAACCCACCTCCCCAAATGTCACATGTACATGTCTGTGAAACCTCTCCAGGCATGGGGCCTCCACCACTGCGCAGGGATGGGCACAGGATGGGCATCCTGTCAGTGAAGAAATTTTCCCCAATATCCAATCTAAACYTCCCCTGGCACACCTTGAGGCTGTTTTCTTTTGACCTGTCACTTGTTCCCTGKGAGCAGTTCCCCCGATCAGCCCCTGCCTGCCCCTCCTGTCAGGGGGTTGTGGAGAGCCAGAAGGTCCCCTCCAGGGCCTCCTTTTCTCCACATTGAGTCCCCAACTCCCTCAGCCACTCCTCATCAGACTCGTGCTCCCCACCCTTCCCCAGCTCCCTTCTCTGGAGATGCTCCAGGTGCTCCATGTCTTTCCTTTTGTGAGGATTTGTT